TGGCTTTGGGTATGTCTGGCTAGCTCAAGAAGTGTGTAGCAAGGACGTTTTTCTGAATTTGTACTGCGAGTCTCCGACACGCAGAGACAGCTTTGGAAAGGAAATGCGTCCTTGAAACCTAAATTACGTAATTACATTGAGTTCAAGAGTACCTTACAACCGGAGAAATATTTATCTTTAAATTGCAATCTGAAACTCGCCCGCATTTTTGCCTGTTTTCGTTGTGGGGTTTTACCACTTAGAATTGAAGAAGGTAGGCGCGAAGGTTTGCCTTCAACGGAAAGATTCTGTAAAGTATGTCGTGCTAATTTTGTTGAGGATGAATATCATTTTCTGTTGATTTGCCCAGCCTATAACACATTAAGACGAGAGTTAATCCCCCAACATTTTTCATTCCAACCAACCATGTATAAATTTCAAAGGCTTGTTCAAGCAACAAATGGTGTTATTCTACGAAATGTTTGTGTGTTTGTGTACCCGTTACATTTTAAACATTGGTTTGATATGTTTGTATATGAGCCGGTGGCCTAGGAAAGCAATAAATACTTATTATAAAAAAATATATCCAACTGTCGGCCATTTAACCTAGCCCGAAAACAATCACAACGAACAACCCGCCCACTGGCAGATAAACCCACTCGGAAGGAAGAAGCCTGCGACGCCCACTGGACGAGTAAAACATATCCCATAGTAGGCTGTGCACTGACTTCATTTATACTTAACACTGTTAGCGGGCTCCTTGACAACCGCTAATTAATTAGGTCAAGGGAAATTTGAACTTTCCGAAAAGCACAATCTCATAATAAATAAATTAACAAAATAAAAAAAGCGAAATATGGCAAGTTATGTTAGACATTTCGTAAAAAAAATCAATAATGCATTAACGGGCTGGTGAGACGGGGTCCACATCGTCCACATTACGTCCGTTGGGTAGATTCAGCGAATATCTCTACAGTGTAAGTGTAGTCTGCCGAGTGAGCTGAGTTTCCACACATTCGTGCGTGACAGGTTATGCGGTGAATCCTGTCGTAGATACCAATATATTGCATGTTCTGGACAACGCAACAGAGGGTAATTATCCAAGTAAACTAAGGCATGTAACGACAGGCCTTAGTCAGTGACGCACCCGTTAGCGAATGATCCAGAGGTTTTTGCCTCCCATTACGTGGCGCCCTCACCGTGGTTTCGCGGCATTTTGGGTCCGAAAAGGTATTTTGCGTCTGTCACTATTATACACATCATTGGAACATCATTACAAACTATCGTAACGTACTTTAAAATATTCCCCACTAAATCCACTTAGATTTGTTTTAAAGAATCCTTCGAGTGAATTTTCAGCAGCCAAGAGAGAGTCACTTCTTTTTATGAGTGACTCTCGTTGGAACACATGTTATCGTTGAGGGCAGCACATATTGAAACCAAAACAGCATTCAGCTCAGGATCCGTACTCAGAAACCGAAATAAGAGATCGAATCAAAATACACGCCGGTCTCTAGCGAGGAAAAGAATCCGTGACTTCAGCAAAAAATGTTATGCTTCAATGATGGACGACCACAGCCCAAAATCACGTCACAGAAGCCTTTATTCACTGGAGGGCGTGACTGGTAGGAACATAATATTGGCACGACAACTAAATATATTAGCTGATGGCAGGGGAATGTTGTCCGACGCCTAGGTGTATCTTGTACATATATATATATATATACAGGTGTATATTTTCATTTACATCTGACGAAAAACGCTCGTACTGAAATTTTAAACTCTTCCAAGCTGTAAAAAGTTTTCAGAAGAAAAAAAATACGATGTTAAAAAATTAAGAACACGTTTAAAGAGATGTTTTCAAAATTCGAAATTGTGATCATCATTTGATAAACATTCATTTAAATTATCGCTTGATGGTTTTCATATATTTCATTTATCATGTTTGCAGTGGTTTTGTATTTTTAATACAATTAAAAAAACATTATTGTTGTTTGTGTTTATTATTCTTGTTATTTTGTGGTTTCAAAATTGTATTCGACATTCCAAAAAAAACAACAACTGGCATTTATATATTTACCTATCTATGGAAATGTACATACGTAAACATTAAGTACAAATGATCGCGTGGATCTCGTTGGAAGCGAGAGAAACCTATATTTGTTCCTCAAATAATGTGCAATTTCTCTGGTCCATTTCACCCCGATACATGTTTCCAGACTATTTGGAGCAGTGGACGCCGGCGATGACGTGAGAGAACAGCACGGTATTTAGAAGTGATGGAGGGAGTCGTGACTTTCTCGCTGACTGCGAGATCTCGACTTCCATTTGCGTCTATATTAATTACTACTCGATCTCTCTGTGAAGTTATGAAACAAGGAGATATTGATTGTAAAATGTAGCTAAGAGTGTTTACGATTCAATAGAATATATTAACAATATGAGACAGTTGAAATGGTTATTCCGTGAACACACAAAGAAACTACCAATTTTGATAGTGAAAATATCAATTTTTGAAAGAATCTTAGACTACGACATATGTCAAGGTTGCAAGTCGGTGTACATTATCGTGTCCAATTTCATGGTTATTGATGAGAAGGATAATGGACTGACAAAGAGAACGACAACTTGAACGACCACATATTGATTCAAATGGCTTTACCAAGGCCGCCCGTATTTTGTTATTTTCCTCCCTGATTCAATATGCTTTTATTAACTAACTGAAATGTGTTCAAATATTGTCACGAGTAGTTGCTGCGACTCTGACAGCCCATGCATGCGTCATTGTACTGCCAATGCTTTTAAACTGCTGTGAATGTACAAGATACAAACGTACATGGTGTGTGTAAATATGTGAAGAAATGTACAACAATTAGTTTGTTTATTTCAGCGCCTTGCTTCGCTGTGTTATACGTTTTGAATGAGGTGTACATGGCTTCATTGAGTGAAACACACTAATAATTATAATTATTTATTTACGATTGTCACCCTGGTAAAGAAATACCTTGGAAAACCATAAGATATAGACATCATCTACTGTACATTGTATGGGAACACGACGCACTGTGTTAAAATGACAAATTAGTTAAGTAGAGAGAGAAATCAAGAAAGTAATTAATAAAAAATATCATATAATTGGTGACGTTGTTTAATGTGAAAGCTGTTGTTCAACTTAGTGTTGCATGATGGGTAAAAACTTCTATGTAATTGGTGATGTTGTTTAATATGAAAGCTGTTGTTCAACTGTTGAAAGTGTTGCATGCTGGGTACCATAACATCACCCACGGGTATAAAACGCACCATACTTGAAGTTTAGATAGTCGGTGAATCAACTCGGCACTGGCGCATACAACACACAATACCCTGTGTCGGAATGATCGAGAATAGAACAAGCAGTCAAATCACTGCAGAGAGTGAACCTACAGTCACCGATCGAGATATTTCTCACGAACCTTGTAATGAACAATTATAATAAAGTTAACGCAGGACACGAACATAATGGCTGAGGTGAACTGAAAGGCCACCAATTACATTACAACCAACAAAAGACAAAATAGTTTATGCAGAGTATAAACTCTGTTTGGAATTCTGGTTTGCAATTACAGTTTGGTAAATAAATATTGACACAATCGTCCGCGTATTGCTGTGTGTCTTAATTTGGTTCGAAACCCAGAGTTGTGTTATTGTGGGCAATGTGGGCATGGACGTTACCAGTAGCACATCATTAACTTCCATGGAAAAGCATTTTGCGCAAATCAGACGTTAACTGCAAGCTTTTTACTAAACAAATATTTTTTGTGGGGAGATCTAGAAATCGATACTCCTAGAGTTGTATATCAAATTATTGGAAAATTAACAGACGTAGTAGACGCTGTGTCGGCGAAGCAAGGTGAGTGTCCAATTCTGTTTTCCAAATTCTGTTTGCTATTTTTTTTCTCAGATGACAAAGGTCCGATAAACGCATCGATGGATTACTATGTTAATGCGTAGTAATTTATATTGAAACGTCGATTTGTTTTAACATTGAATTTGAACCCACAACGACCGGCGAATCTAATATAATATTTACTAAGGACACACACCCAACTACGAATGTCTGAAAGCCTTGGTGATTGAAAGTCTTATCATAACGCCATGCCAGACTAGTTTGAGTACTAGTAGTCTGTGATCGTTCAGTACCCTCATACTAGGATAAAATCTAATGCTACACAACAATGTCAAACGTGGATTTCAAATATGAAAAACCATCTTGCCTTTGCCATAGATATCCAACATTGAGGTTTAACATTGCGTATGTCCACTTCAGTATTCATGGAAATATATATATATATGGCTATAACTGTCGCACGACTTCTCATTCTATTAAAGTTATGTTGATGGCTCGGAAAAGAAAAAAAATCGAAATGAATTGACATACGCTGTGTAAAGAAGTCAATGAATAACATCATCTAAATGTATTCATATGATAGTATCCGGCAACAAGTAGTTGCTAGGAGACATTCAAAAACGCGATTGATGTCAACTGTAAAGAAATTCCCCTCACTTAATTACGTAGAAGAAAATTAGGTTAGTAATTTGTTCATTTCTTATTGTCATAAATTTCTTACCTTTCAGGTGTCAATTTTTTGAATTTTATAGGTGAATAAGTGTTCTTTGAAATTTACCAATTATTCATAAAAAAATGTCCAAGTTGTTGTTTAAACCACGACTTTCGCATTGTGATCAGTACCAATAACTTTGGTTTAGTCTATAGCTACCTAGTCTTAATCTATCCCTTTATCATGCTACGATTTGACTGACATGAGACTAGCACGACGCATGCGCAGCGACAACACAATATCTGTCACGTAATCCACAGTGACCTTGAGGTAGTGTCTGGGTAAACTGTAAACATAAACACAGTGACCGGGCATTAGTATCGTGCTATGTTTGTAGATCAGTGAAACTAGTTAACACGGAAGTGACATTCGTAAAATTCTGTATTCCGCGTTTGTTGGAAAGTTGGCATTACTAATTATAACAAAAGAAACACTTGGCATAAAAGTCTATATTTGGAATGAAATGTTACAATTACTACTACTAGTATGGATCAACTGCTTTTGAAAGCGTTTTTTTTTTTAAATAAGTACACAATGTTGACCTAAATAATTAAATATAAAAAAACACACGAGGACAGTAAATAACATTTCACCATTATGTGTTATCGATACGTGATTACATTACTTTGGTTTTAATCGAATCACGCTGTACTGGATATTAATTTGTGGTGACTATGTTTCAGGTGTACACGAAACGACAAGCTTGATTTAGATTAGGATAAAAAAAGCAAAGCTAGGAAGATTTTAGGTGGGATTTATGGCGTGTAAGTCGCATAAAACTGCACCTGTGGCATCAACCCTAAGTATTTATTATTTTGTTATTGTATAGACGATGTTGAATTATTTACTGTGTAAAAAAAAGTGCAAAACATAACAGCAATGTTTGACTTGGTAGTGGTTAGATAGTCCGTCACAGAATCTGTTTGTGGCTCTATTTCTGTATTGAATCTGTATTTCTACCACTGTTTTCAAAACATTCTCACAGTCCTTTGTACATTTGCCCACCGTTTGACTGATACCACCTTCTATTGTGTCATTCACGGTCAATTACACACTATTGTTGCCGGGTGTTACACAACATGAAATGCACTTTTGAATGATGAGACCGACCTCACGTCATTATGGATGTCATAAAACGAAACCTTCTACAGAGCTTTTCGAATGGTCAAATGTTCTTCTCTCGTGGCCTTTCAAGTACCTGTCAACAATCAGCCCATCAAAAGCTCGTAATCGACCGCAAATGGTCTATACTTGTAAACACTCACTGTGTCGTAGTAGTCGCGAGAACACGTCTGATAATCACCGAGTCGCGGCGAACAATTTAATGGTCTTGCCTCTAAACCCTAATTATATTATGTTTGGGGTAAACGTGAGCGTCTGTGACCTTTCTTCTTCCACTGCGCAGAATAAACTAAAAGTTTTCCGGTAACCAAATAACATACTACTTGATCTATATATAACCGACACGGAAAAATTAATATGTAAGATTTTTTCCTGGACGGTTTGTAAAAATACTGACAATAATATCACACACTAAGCTGAATCGGAACTACTCATTTTTAAAGATCGTCACTATGTACCGAAACCAAAGAAAAAAATAGTAGAAAATTACAGCTACCAATTCTAACAGCTACCAATAACG